AAGATAATAAAATATTATTTTATATAAAAATTTAACGTAATGTAACCTAAAATTATAGAAAAAAATTTTTCTACATTATGTAGTTTAATCGCAAACCATTCTAATGTGGGTCAGGAATAAATGTTCCTTCTAATAATTGCTAATAAATTAGTTATATGATATGTTAAATTCATGTTTTGTTATTCAATATTGAATAAATTACTTTATCCTGTCTTCACGAAGGTAATCCCGTGCATCAATTATGATTTGTACTTCCTTTCATATTTATAAATGAGCATATCTAATTTTTATGATATAAATTAGATGAACATCTCTTAAATTTAAACACAAACTTCTTCTATTCAATTTATTAATACAAATAAATTTATTTTAAAATTAAAAGAAATAAGCATTTTTCGAATTTATTTAACCAATTAAATCAAAAAATATAATTATAAAACACAAAGCGAAACGCTATATATTCAAATTTAAAATTTTAATACTGTACTTTTCATTGATTGGTTACTTAACTTTGACGTAACAGACAAAACAAACGTGCGTCATAATTTACCCGTATTGCTTTTAAAAAAAAGATTGAAATTGATTGTTTAAGATAATTGGATTTTGTAACTCACGTGACTGGCATGACGTAGTATAATTTTAAGAGTGTTTTGTTTATTAAAGAAAATAATCATTTAAATTTTTTTTTAAATTGATAATTAAGAATAAAGCTAAATTATTATATATGTGTGTTTATTTTTTAAATTGGATAATATAGAATTTTTCCTGTTTAATTCTTACCGCTTTTATCGACTAAAGTGGACGTTTAGTTTAAAGGAACGTCATCCTGCACTTGTATACATTCACGACCTTTCATTGATTCACTTTTATTTTATTTTTCATGTCGAATAAATTTAAGAAATTCTGTTCAATTATACGCAAAGGAAACGGATAATTTATGAATATTTAGTAACCACGTGATAAATAGATTAGGAGAGGGTGGAGAGAGAGCAAATGGAGTTTTCGTGTAGAAGGATTTCATTTATTCATACTCTTATACAGATTAATATATGAAGAATGAGCTTGATTATTATACATTATGCTTATTAAATAAGAATTTAATTGAAAATATGTATAAGTACTGCTAAGTTTAGAAAAGCTCTGCTTAATACTTTTCGTATTGATCACGTTTGTAGAGATTTTGGATGGAGTAGTTGAAGTGTATCAAGTTTCATATATTGCAAAAATTCTTGTAATATATAAACAACTTCCTCCGATTTAATAATTTTTTTTTTAAATTAAAAAATTTTTCATAAACATAAATCTATCAATAAAAAAATAATAATAAATAAAAAAATAAATTGAAGTGTTAAATAAATTCTAAAATTAATAATACATATAAAAATTAAACATTATAAAGTAATATTCTGTAAATTTTTAAACTGTATTAAATACCTTTAATAAGTTTAAAATTTTCAATATCATCGATTGATGCTAATTGGTTACCTAAATTTACGTAGTAGCGATTACGACAAAATTCTAACCAATAAACATTCACATTTGCGTAATAATCGAAATGCGATTAAATTAAAATATTAACCAATAAGAATAAATTAAATCGGACTTTCGTTTTATTTGAATTCAAATTTGAATATTGTAATATTTAGTTAATTGGGTAGCGAGAATTCGTGTAATAATTATAATTGATAGTGTTTAAATTTGAAGTTAATATTCAAATGCGAAGATTTATTGTTCCAAAAATGATAAAATTGTGCATGAATGCTACAATAAGCAATTAAATAAATCAATATTTAGTTGTTGTTGAATATTATTCATTCGAATTTTTGAATAATTTTTGAATAATTAACCGACTTAAAATATCGTGACATAATTAAAATATTGATACTATATAATGCTATAATTAATCTCAGTATTTACCGTTATAAAGGAAAAATAAAAGATGCGTTTTAAGATAATTTAAAATGACTTTATGAGATGTAAATTAAGAGCTTAATCTTGTAAATTTTTTCATTACTGCTATTTCTAGTAAAAGTATCGATAGAAAACAGAAAAGAAAGTAATTACAAGATGAGTGGTGACTCATTTATCAAGAGTTAAAACAAGTTCGAAAATCCGATTTTCTCTTATATTGATTTTCATCTTTTAGAATTAAAAATAAAAAAAAATTTATCATGTATTATTTGTGTAATTTTTAAGTGTCTTACAAATAACAAGATGCCAAGTGTCATCTCTTTAATGTGTTTGAAAAAAAGTAATTTTTCTGCTTAGACACTTTTTTTTTTATTTTGTTCTGTGAGATATTTTTTCTATTGCTTAAGATATATTAGAAAAGTTCATCGAAAAAACTTTTATTATTATTTTTCACTTAGTTTCTGTTTGTTATCGAACACGTATTTGAAGGATAATCAATGAACCTATTGAAACCTAATAGTNCGATGCCATCTGGGTGGAGCGAACTGGCTTTGCAATGTGTAAGTTCATCTAGTTTTTAAGCGCGCTTAAATACGTATAATTTAATTAAACACAGGATATTAAAGAGTATTGTGGTAATTAATGTGTTTGAAAAAAAGTAATTTTTCTGCTTAGACACTTTTTTTTTTTATTTTGTTCTGTGAGATATTTTTTCTATTGCTTAAGATATATTAGAAAAGTTCATCGAAAAAACTTTTATTATTATTTTTCACTTAGTTTCTGTTTGTTATCGAACACGTATTTGAAGGATAATCAATGAACCTATTGAAACCTAACTGTAAGTGGCAAATTTTCTTTGCTAATGTTGGAATAAAGAACGAACGTGTTTAAGATTACTAATTATTTTGCATTTACTCGAGATATTCAACCATAAAATTTCTTTTTTCTTTCTTTTTTTTGTATATCATTCAGTTTTTTAAATAACTGTAGAGCTATCCATACTACTGAACCATAAAAATGTTATATTAATACACATGTAGATGTTACAATAGGGAAATAAATGTGAAGTAGTGTGATTTTCTTTACATCACACTCATTTCCCTATTGGAACATCAATCTACAGATCCATGTCAAGCGTATCTTTCATTCAGCATCCCATGATAAAATGATAGTTGGAAAGTGAAGTAAATTTACCAAACTTACCGAAGGGTAAAACTAAGACACGTAAACGTTCTTATCACCGTAAACTTGATTTTATAATTTAAATTTCAGTTTATAAATAATAGATTTGTATCTTACATTATTTATTCATTATTTTAGAAGGGCTTCATTTTTGAGTACTGTTCATTAAGATTTATCTACTAGTGCACACGAGTAACTCGCGTGATATTTCAGACAATAATGCACGATTCCGTGATATGGCCTATTATAATTTAATACGGTGTAGTGTAGCGATGTAATACTAAACAACAAGTGTAATTCGATAAGAAAAAAAAAAATATGTAAATAATAGACTAAAATTTTATGCTAATTTATACTTTAATAATACAATAAAATAATCCTCACTTTCGAAATATCGATTTTTAAACATTATTCCAAATCAATCTGTGGTCTTCTATCTATTGAATATGCGTAAAGAATGGTGTTCACGTCTAACTGATTTTGTTATAAATTCACAATTTTCTCTACAGATTGATTGCAAATCACCCAAGTTTGTTTTTTTTTTCTGACTTTTCTTTATCCTAACGGAGCGTATCCATTTACATCACAATTGCTAGTGGATAGAGGCAAAGTGAGTACAAAGAGAGGTTCCTATAGGGATTTGAATTCCACTTTTTATACGGACAGGATTTAAAATTCTATTTAATATGCTTTACAATATACTTCTATACGCATTTAATTCTATATTTATCCTTAAAAAATGATTAATTTATTACGCTGGCGTTATTAATTATTTAGTCTTCAACTGCTGTTTACTTCCATACAAAAAATTGTTTACAAAAAGAAATGTTTGGCAAGCAAGAGATAACGCTTTCGGCTCTACAACTTCTATAACAGAGATAAAACTCATCGAGTTTACTGTTGACCACAGATATAATACTAACTTTTACCTTAAGGTGTGGGTGGAATGTATCCTGCAGGGTACGAATTACATAGGAAAGCGCTAGACATCATCAAATAAATTATTCTAATGGGCGAATGTTTGACTGGTGGAATGCCATTTAATACTTTTAATACAACTTATAACAGCTGTGAAGTGATACTCGGCTATGCTGACATTTTTACAGATGAAGATATTCTCCAGAATTCTTTTCGGATGAGTTTTTAATCGATTAATTACGAAAGCCGAATTAAATATTGTGTAATATGTATTGTGTATGTGTTTATCTAACTACAGATAGGTGAGTACAAGTCATATGCCAATTTTATAAACCATTAATATAAATTGGAAAAAGTGCAATGTATTTATTTTTTTAAAAAAATATATATATATATATTTTTTCATTTTAAATCAGTCGGTTGTGCATAATCTATTAAATTAACAAATTAAAATAATAAATTACAAATTAAAAAAAAATACATTATTTTGCTTTCTGCGCCATCTGCCGTATAAATTTATCATAAATTAAATTATTTTCTATTTAATCACGTCATAAAATAAATCAAAATCGATTTAAGTTTAATCTTTAATTTCTCTATTCAAAACTTACATTAAAGATTATAAAAAAAACTGCCATTTTGATTTTTTTTCTCTACTAAATTGTTTATGGCACCGTATAGAAAAAAAAATAATTGATTTTATTTATAAACATAAAGCGTATTCTAGAAATAAAAATAAAAATTTTAAATACATTTTTTCGCTTGAGAAAATATAAAGGTTTATTTAGACAATTACAAAAGATGTCATTGACCTTACTTACCTGTTAATATATATTTATTTACATTTTAAAATATCTCAATTAAAATCGTACATATTCTAAATAAAAATAATACAAATCTCACGAGAATTATTAAGAGTAGAAAATTTTTACGAGCGGTATCAAAAAATTCGAAATTATTTTTTTAACCAATCATAACACTTCTAGGTAGAAAGCGCGGTACCAACCTAGATCACGTTGGTGTAGTCGTGCATCTACGGCAGCGGTTATTGGGTCATCGTATATTTGCGTTATTGACGCTTGTATCGTGCTACCTGTTCGCACAATACCTATAGGACGGGGTGTGTTTTCTAATGGACGTGTAGGCAGATCGAAATATCAACGTGGGTTGCTGCAGGGTGTGGCCGTATTATCTAAAACACCTGGACAACTGTTGACCGCGCGGCAAAAAGCGCGTGCAATGCTATCGTAGTCTTTGGTACGATGTTTTATTGTGTATCAATTCGAGTCTCGTTTACTTCCAATCATGAATAAATCTTCGGTCGGTGACATTGCCCCTGGCTAGCTGTTATGGTGGAAACACAGCGATGCCATCTGGGTGGAGCGAACTGGCTTTGCAATGTGTAAGTTCATCTAGTTTTTAAGCGCGCTTAAATACGTATAATTTAATTAAACACAGAATATTAAAGAGTATTGTGGTAAGGTTATTGTTCTATTTTTCTCTTCGGCATCTTTGTCTTCTTGGCTTTTTGTATTCGAATTTTTTTTTTTTTCCTTTTTTTGTTTTTCTTCGAGCTTCCACACTGTCACTGACCTGACATAGCGGACAATGTTACTTTACCTGTAAAGTTCGGGATCCGGAACGACCCTTTAGGTTAGCTTCTTCCAGTAAATAGCCTCATCAAATAATGGTTATGGTCTGGAAAAATTACTTAACTCGCTTCCTTTCTGACGTATTTTTATTATTGTTTTTCAAATTTCCATGCTGCTGCTGCCTTAAAAACAACTACGATTTAATGTTTACTCGACGTGTTTGTGAATTTTTAAAGGTTTTAAATATGTTTTAATGCTAATTAGATTAAAAATGGAAGTTTTGCAGAGTTGTAAACAAAGTTTTTTTTTTTTTTGGTGGGTAATTATTGATCTCTCGCCGTGTATTGCTCATAAAACTTCTATGCTATACGTCTTCGTTGGCATGATTTTTATAACTGTTTTTTTCGTAAATGCTTACTGATGTGGTAAATATTAAACAGCGATAAAATTTTTCAATAAACATTGCCACTGTATAGATTATTTTACACGCGTATACCGCGCACTTCTCGCACACGCTCTACTCCAGTTTTATTTTTCTCTTCTTAAAAGTACTTGAGATTTTTAATTTGATTAAAATAATCTAAAAATAATCTAGATATTATTAAGTTTCAGATTTATGTAGGCGAACATCCGGCTTATCTCCTACACTTTTTAATCTTTTTTTTAATCTTATATATATATATGGCAGGTTGTTTTCTGTAATGCTATTAATTTTACTTGAATATTTATATGTTAATGGCGCAATATTCATAAATAAAATATATTAAAATTTTAATCAAATTTATTATAATTTATTTTATTTATTTATAACTTTTCATATGGTTATAAGGAGCATTTCTAAAATTGTATTTGAAGTATATGTATGATTAATAATTTAATTTTAAATTAGTAATAAAACTATCTTATCTATATTTTTAAAAAATATTTTTAATGATTTTNTCTATTTGACGGAGCACGCGCGTGCCGACGGGATAACACTTAAATAGGGGCTTGTTTCCCTTAAATGATCTCCCGGAAGGTACTTCCCCTTCGCCTTTGGCAGATCGCCCATGTGTCGCGTTACCGTAATCAATAAGGTACTGTAAACATAAGCACAATAGAAGTAATCCGTTTATTAATTCTCCAATTCATTTAGGAATAAACTGATCCCCACTTTAAATCTATCAATCAATAGGTTAGCACGTAATACTCATATTGAAATGGACTCCCAAAGCCTTGGCTTTCAGCTACTGAGAAGAGGCAACAGCTATTTTTACTGTAAACGTTATAAAGCACGAATGATCATGGTCATTAGTTCGATTCAGAAGTTGTGTGAGCCTATGATTCTGACGTCATTTCTGGGTTATCTGGGTTATCTGGGTGTGGTCTAACCCAGATATGTCAGACTCCATCGCCATCAACCGATCGCTCTTATTTTTAGCTTGACCATAGTGCCCAAAATGGCATAAAAATGAGAAAAAGAAAAAAAAAATTATAGTACTTATGTTTAATAGCATTATGATGTTTCAGACTTTGAATGTAAAAGTTGAGAAGTTCAAAACAATGTAATTGTTCTAAATTACGAATAGAAAATTGGTGTACAGTATATTCAAATTCTTAAACAATTTTTGATTGACAATAATGATGATAAATATCTTTCTTTTTTTTTTTTTTATGTTATGCCACTCTATTTTAGTGTCTAAATTTGTTTTCAATTAGATTTAAGTTACATTTTTTAATTTTTTATAGTTTTATATACTTTAATTAAATTTTTAAGTTTAATAATGATGCTATTAAAACTATGTTTGCTATTAAAACTATGTTTGTTCTTAAAAAAATAGTTAATAATACAGAAACTTTATTTTAATTTTTTTTTTTCTTGTTTATTTTGAATGTTTTAAAAAATCTAAACTATAGAATGAATGAATTTTTATAATCTGAAATGAAATATTGATTTTTCAAAGTTGAGTCAACTTTATCAAATTGAACATTAATTGACTGTTAATATAAAAAAAATTATTGATTAAATTTATTTTTTATATTCCATTTCAGATATGGAAAATAGTTTTTTTTTTTTCCTTGTCGTCTAATTTACTTTAATGAATGATTTTATAGTTCTGATACATAATTGCAACCTATAATTTTTTTTTAGTATGAATTTTAAAGAATTTTTTCAAAGCATTAGTAATGTTTTTATATTAATTTGTAGGGTGGAATGTGTTCAGCTTCTGACACAATGGAGAGTTTGAAGGGGAAATGTGAAAGCCCTCTATCATATCCTAGTTCCAGAATTAAACATTTTACAAGGTGAGTTCAAAAGATTTTAAAATTATTATGATGTTTATAAATTAATCAATATTTAAATATAATTTTAATTTAATGAATTGATGGCTGAATGGCTGAATTGTTAAAAGGTGGTAAACTACCACTCCGGGGACCTGAGATTTAATGTGGATGAGTTGAAAACCTTGGGAATTTTTTGGTATGATCTGTCCACATAAGTCAGGCTCATCCCTCACTACCTGACTGCCTGTTTGTGGGCCTAGCTGAACCTGTAATGGGCTTGCTACAAAAGCCTACAGGGCAAAAAGAGTTAAAAAAGAAATTTAATGTATTTTATAAATCATATTAATTTGTTTTATATTACGATTTCAATATGTTGTATTTTTCATTAAGTTTCTATTACTAAAAATCTCTAATACCAACAGCAAAATTATGTACGATGTAATTTATATACATTTATATATTTAATTTTGTATAATTAAAAATAATAAAACTTTTCTCAGATATGTTTATTCCAATAAAATAATTCAAATTTAATATTATTTAATATTTAAATTTGTGAAAATACATAAACGAACCTAATTTATTATTATATTGAATAAAACATTTTAATTATATAGATTGATTGTTTTAATAATTATAAATATTCATAGTTTTAAATTAAATTTTTAAATTACTTATAACTTAATTAATATTACATTATAATATTAACAGAAAATTATAATTCTGAAGGCTGTATTTTAATTTTCCATTTTAAATTAGGTTATTATTTTTTTTTTTATAGAGGTCAAACAGAGGGAACAACTAGGTTTCCAAAACTAGATGAATGTGCTCACTTTCATTACGAAAATGTGGATTTGGGATCAATCAAAGTAAGCAGTAAAAATAATTTAAAAATCTTTTAACTCTTAATTGCTTTTATCAAAACTACTTGAATAGGTAGATATAATAAAATATAAAAATTTTAAATATGTCTTATAACAAAGTTATTTTCCTTCATCAATATTTTAAAAATTTAATTAATTATTAATGATATTCATTCATTTGTAAGCTTGGAATGTGATTTGCATTTTAAATTTAAAAGTTTACCTTTTACATTTTAATTCAAATAACTAAAATCTAATAATTATTTGAAGTAATCAGCATGAAGCAAGTCCTTTTTTTTTTTTTTTTTTTAAATATCACACACCGGTTATAGGTTCTAAGAGTGCAGTAAAATAAAAATAATACATTTATGTGCACAAATAGTAAAAAAGCCTTCATAAAACTTCTAGTAACTAAAAATATATATATTTACAGATAATTTCTATTTTATTTGTGTTAAATATATATATATGTTACGGCAAAAGTGGGAAATGTCTGGCCAAATTGGAAAATGGCCAATGTCCGATCATTTCTTGATTTTGAGATTTGGCTGACCAGTTTGCGAAATGGCATGGGGCGAATGGCCAAAGTCTGAAGAAAAAAGTCGTGGTTGTTTATAAGTAAATTATCTACAACCTTTCTGATCAGATTTGAGATTCTAAGCCCCACTTTTGCTTTGCAGCCAAACATGGCCTCATAAGGCAACTGCTAAACGCTTTGGTAAAAAGAACAGTTCTTCATGAATTAAATAAATCAGAGCCCCTTAGCCCAATGTGTTGATTTATTTACTTGCATCCATGTCGTCATCATATTCTGAACATCCTGGTTGGCACGTTCAACAGAATCTTTGCTTTGGTTATGCCTCGGTTTTCCATGTACTAGTTTCAGTTCAGGCCATATGTTCTTTAGTTCATTTATAACCTGATTTGCAAATTTTCTCCCATTATTTGATTTAAGCCCACTTGGAGCACCTATAGTGTGAAGATATCAAGTAGCTGGTAAGCAACTTCTGTTCTTTTGCTTTTCAGAGGTTGCAATAATATAAACTTGGTTAAATGATCCTGATAATTGAGTATAAACTAGTACTTGTCGTCATGGTTACTTTGCATGTCTGTAAGATCTACCTGGCATCTTGAATTAAATTCTTTAAACATCAAAGTTTTAGAAATTAGAACTCTTTTGGGATTTGACAATTTGGTCTGACATGGCTTGCATAAGTGGAGGTACAGTACAATGTAATGGCTTCTTTGGTGACATTTTTGTACTTAATTGTGCGACCATCCATGCCCAATTTTCAAATGGGTATTGTGTAATATGTTGAAAANGAGTAGTTTTCTTTAAAAAAAAATATTGGAGGTTGAATATAACATAAATGTAAATTAAGTTAAAAGACAAAACATGAGGCATAAGATATAAATAATTGATCTAGTTTAAATACCCTTCATTACGGTTCAATTGCAAAATTGTTTTGATTAGCATTAATTTTTATTGATTTTTTTTTCAATTTGAATATAAGATTGTTAATGTCTTCTAAGCTGTGTCATATTTGAGTTTTACTAAATTTATGTTCACACTATCTGAAAAGTACATTATAGGATCTGATATTAAGATATGTTTTTAAATATGAAACAGTTTTAATATTTTATGGAATTGATAAATACTAGATTATAATTTTATTAAATTCTGTTGTATGACTAATGGAGGGTTGCTAAATATAGCTAACTGTAATATTTTAATAAGTTAATAGTTTCAGGTGTATTATTCAGTTGTTCATAACTATATTTATGGTTTGATTACATGAAATTATTTAATTCAGTTAATTAAAACCTATTAAAAAATTCAATAATTATTATTATTTTTTTCTTTAACAATAGATATTTATTATTAAACTGTTTATATAAATTTAGATGTTTAAAATTATTTAAAATGTAAACTGAAAGTATGATTACAGTTTTAAGATGCAAATTGTAATTGTAATGACATTGTTAAGCAAATTAAATAATTAAAATAGCTTAAAAATCATAAAAATTTCTAATAATTTATTACTGAAATCAAATATATTTGTCCTATTATTCTATTACTTAAAGAATATATATGTATTGTGGCTCTTAAAATATATTATAGGCCACATTTTAAATATAATTCTTATTATTTAGGTTACTGATCTCTGTTCTAGTGCCATTGATTGAAACCTTTTCTATCCTAGTAAACTGGAAATATTTCAAAATTAGATCTTTACCCATTTATTATAATTTATTCATTCTATATGTCATAATAAAATAATGCTTGCGTATGTAAGGATTTCATATCAATTATGTATTATTACATGATCTGTAGTAATAATTTAAATAGGAAACAAATCATTGAAAAATTTATATTTAAATTATTCTAGTTTTAATCAGATTTGAAATCTTTGAAATAATTTTAAATTATGCATAACTTCTCTATTTTTTTAAACTAAAAATCATTAATAATTCTATAACTTAGTTTATAATATATAATGTTTAAGAAAACATATTAAAAAATCTTTCATATACCATTTTAATTTATATAAGTTATTAAATGAAATTAATAAGAGAGACATATCTACAGGCCCAAATATATTTAGAAGTTTTATTTATAAAATAGGTTTTTCTTATACTTCTTAATTAGTAATTAAGTGTATGAAAATATTAAAATTTTTATATGGATAGTTATTTAATTAAAAATAAGGAAATTTATTATTTTCAGTATTTTCATTCATATGTATATTTATATATTTTCTGTTAAATCAGTATTGCATACAAGGTACTGGTACATATTGCATTTCCTTTTCTTTATAAATAGCTATTAATTTGTTTTGAGATTAAAGATACAAAAAAAAATTATTTTTTCTATATAATAATATATTCATAATTAAATTTTATTTAATGCATTTTAAATTTACAAGTAAATAATATAGTCATAAAAGTTTTTATAATTTTATATGCATTTTGTCATATAGTTGCTTTATAGGTAAAGTCACCAAATTAAGTATGAAGAATCAGTTATTTTTGACTTTTTTCAATAATTAAATTTAGTTAAAACTTATATTAAATATATTTTTCTGTAATAATTTAAATTTGTTTTTAACATTAACATTATTATGCATTTTATATTTTAAACATAGCTTTTCATGTAGCTAGTCTGCAGGTTTTTGTTAAGAATGTATTCATTGTATTATTTTTAGGTCATTTAAATTTTAAATGATCTGATAAATCTGTTTTGTTGATGAACATAATCTGTTTTATTGATTTCAAATCCATGTGACATAATTTCTTTAACATAATTTTCTTTTAAAAATTATAAAAAGTAAATGATTTTTGTATGATATCTGAATTTGGAAACAAAGTACATTTTTTTTTTTTTAATCATAGGACAAGTATAGTAAAAACACTAATGTCATAAATACACCTAATAAAAGTATATCTTTGTATGTGGATGTGAAATACGTGCACATTCATAATATTGATGAATGCATAATTTGTTTTACATAAACATTTTTAGAAATTTAATTGTTCTAGGTACACAGTAGCTAAATAAACACAATTCTTTAACAAGTCTTATTTATTGTACATAGTATGTCCATTTCAAGACAATCTTCAATATTGGCTTTGAATATTGAAAAATAAACTTTGTTTTTCTGCACTTATGAGTTTATTGACAATATATTATCCTGGATGAATAATGAATCTTAATTAAAGTTGTTATATTATGTTTCTTAATATTTATTCTACTTTATTTTAAAAATATTTTTATAGAATTCTAGTATAAACACAAATTTTGACAAATAGTGTGTTTAATAAAATTAAAAAAAATGATTTTACTAGATTTTTTCATTTTTCATTAAATTACAATAAAAAAACAAAGATTATAAGCTTCTTTATAATTATGCTGCTCAGTGAAACAAATGGTATGTCAAGAGTACATATTAGTGTTTTGAATGTATAATAAAAACATTATCTTTGATTCTTTCTTTAATTATGTTAATATGTTTCTAGAATAATGCTTGAACATATGGAATACAAAATGTATATAAATCTGATTAATTTTTTTAAATAGCATGCAATTTTATTTTCCTTACTTCTTAAAAGTTTCCATTTTGGCATTTACATTTTGTTCCCTCTAGCAAAGGGATGGGCAACCTTTTTCTATGTAAGGGCCGCATTTCTAAACTTTGAACTGACGTGGGCCACATACAAAAGAAAAGAGGAAAAAAAAGTCGGTAAATCACAATTATTTATTCATATGTAATTATAAATTAGCATAGGTATACTTAATTTAGCTTCTGGAACTGATGTAAATGTAATATGTTGGAATTATTTGGTTAAATATTAGTCACTGCTAGTTTTAAATTAGTTTCGATGTGTCTGTTAGTCGGTTTTTGTTTTAATTTTTACTAAATTCATTGTGGAAAATCTATTCACATATATAAGTTGTAGAAAATAACATTTGAATTTTTATTGCATACTTTTTTAAGCTGGGAAATTGATATATTTATTAATATTTTACACAGGCCACATGCAGTCTGAGGGTTGCAGGTTGCCCATCCCTGCTCTAGCATATCAATTATTAAATGGAAGAGTGAATGATATTTTGAGGATTTATTAATATGAACAACTTTAGCTAATTTTGACTTCCTGCATTAAAATAGTTTTAATAGATATAAATGTAACATATGAAAAAGTTTAAAGATGGAAACAAAAAACCAAGAGGATCTTTTTATTCCATACCCATCATGGGCTTGGCCAAATCCACAATGGGCACAACTGAGTAGTGAAAGATGGAGCTTGACATACCTGGGATAGACTGCCCATGAAAAATTCCTGGATTTGCTCACTCAGAGTTGATCCTAAGTTTCCTGAGTGGTAGGCTGATACCTTAATCATCTTTGTCATTTGCCCATTTATATTCGTATACTATTACATACAAGATAATTTAATAAAGTATTTTTAAATTTAATAATTTAATTAATAGCAAGATAATTTAA